CCTCCCCTACCCTCCCACAGGCGCCCTGGCTGCTGCCACCCTGGCCACTCTCCAGCCCAGCTCTGGGCATTGCAATTAGCCTTTCTCTGTGTGCCTGCGTTTACTCCGTGTACCTACCGAAAGCCACTGCTCCAAAAAGTGCTGCAATCCTCTCTGTCCTGTGTAGGAATCATGCTTTCCTTTTGGTTTCTCCTCTAAGGTCCTGGCAGCTTCCTCTGGCCGGGTCTCTCACCTCAGTTTAGTGTGGATCTGCAGGGACCTTTACCCCACCCCCGCCCCACCTCAGATCCTTTCCCAGAGGAATCATTCTGGATAAATGGTTCTTGCTGCCCTGCGGGTCTGGCTCAGTACTGTTCATATTATTTGCACTTGGAGACAGGAAGTCTTGAAACATCTCTTTTGCATGGGACTTTTTATTATTATTATTGTTTACGGTTTAGTCCCCTTAAATACTGTGCCACCGGGTCAAGTCGGCCATGACTAGCTCAGTGACCTTGAGCAGGTCTCTCGTCACCCAAGCCTCAGTTCTCTTGTCTGTACCATGGGGGCAGTCCCTACCTCACAGGGCTGTTGTGAGGATTAGAAGAGAAAAGTGTGAAAGAGTGAAAAAATACCTCCCAAGTGCCTGGTACCTAGTGGTGCTAAATAAACCAATTGTACTTACGGCCGTCTTATGTGTTCATGAGTCCCCCAATGGGAAGAGGAGTACATGTAAATTGTTGCTCAAATTAAAAAAATCCAGAGTTCCTGTGTCTGTGCTTCTCAGAGTGTGGTGTCTGGACCCCCAGCACTGGCAACACCCAGGCGCCTGTTACAAATGCAGATTGGAGTAACCTTCCCCACTCCCAGGCCTGCTAATCAGAAGCTGCAGGAGTGGGGGTCCAGCAATTTGTGTTTGAAGAAGCCCATCAGGGGCCCAGGGCCTAGTGCAGCATGAATCTGACACTTGCTGTCTAGGGCCTACAGACCAAGCAGCCATCAGAAGCCACCTGGGTGGCGTGCTTTGTCACCTTCCATCCACCAACCATCCTGGTGTTCCTGAGACTGCATGATGTCCTGGGGTGTGGGGCTGTCAGTGCTAAAACTGGAGAAATACTGAGCAAACAGGAAAGAGTTGATCGCCCTTCTGGAAAGGTTCAGAGAGACCGTCTTCAGAAGATGATGAAAGGGGGGCCAGCAGATGGTGTAATGATTATATCACTGCACACCCACATAGTCAACTGTGGTTCAAGTCTCAGACCCAGCAGCTTGAAACTCGCATCGGGCATGTGTGCATGAGTGCTCAAAATCCTGAGAGGAGAATGGAGAAGGGATTGTGGCATGGCCATCCTCTCAGGGGGATGATTTCCCACTTTCTGTCTCTCCAGTGAGCGCATGCACCCTATAGTAAAAATCTCTCTTAAAAAAAAAAAAAAAGGATCGGGACCAGCAGTTAGCATAATGACTAAGTCGCTGGACTCCCATGTAGTTGACCGTGGTTCGAGTCCCAGACCTGGTGGCTCAAAACTCAAGCCGGGCGCATGTGCGTGCGTGCCCAAGATCCCAAGAGGAGAGTGGAGGAGAAGGGATTGCGGCGTGGCCATCCTCCCTGGGAGGTGATTTCTCGCTTTCTGTCTCTCTGTCTCTCTCTGTCTGTCTGTTGAGCACACGCACCCTATGGCAAAAACCTCTCCAAAAAAAAAAGGATGATGAAGGGAATAAGAGAAGTAAGAGAAGGCCTGGGGCAGGACCCAGTGGTGGGATGTGGGGTGTGTGTGTACTGAAGGGGCAACAGAGTTGCACATAATGGCTGAGAGATTCTTGGCTGTATCCCACCAGTCATTGTTTCTATCTGTTTTTCTTCTAGTTGTCTAGGTTCCAAAAGTTGTCACTGGCTCATGTATCCTCTGTCATTGGGAGAATCAGTGATTCTTCTTCCTGACTACCTCCCCACCACACCTCCAGTCTGGTCCTGAATTCTCTCTGCTCTGACCTTCTCAGTGGCCAGGTACACCCCCTTCCTCAGGTCTCTGCCAGTCTCTGGCCAGATTCGCCTGCCTTCAGCCTTGATCTCATGTCTCTAAACCAACAAGACCATGCTCTGTGTACAGTGTCTAAACTCCTACCTTGCGCCCTTTCTGCTCTCACTATAAATCCTTTGCCTCTTTCAGTGATGTCCAGTCACCTCTATGGGGACAGTACCATAGTGACCAGAAGCAGGGGCCCTGAGCAAGACAAACCAGCAGGGGTCCCTCCCCCCATTCGCAAACTGCATGACCTAGCAAAATGTCCTCAAGGTTCTGAGAGTCAGTCTCCTTAGCCATAACATGTAATAAAAGTCCCTGTCCCATTGAGCCATGGTGAGGCTCCGTCCATGCAGAGCACTCAGAATTGCTCAGTGAGTGGCAGTGACTGAAAACGCCTAGCTTGCTCTTGCCTTCCAGCTTCGTTCGTCCTCCCCGGAATTGCCTCTCGTGGGCAGACCACCTGAAACTGGGGTCCTAGCTGGCCCCCAACACACTCAGAGCATCCTTGAAAAGGGGTTGTCGTGCCCTGGCAGAGGCAGGGGAGGGTGTGAGGAGGGCCAGGGTGACTGGCAGGGAGAGAAGTGAGCATGGTCTCTTGAACGTTCGTTCCAGGGAAGGCCAGGGATGAGGAAGGCCTGTGACTGCCACACTGCCCCTCCTCCCTGTCACCTGTAGGAGAGTGATTCATCACAAGTGGAATAATGAATGTCAGAATTGTCACAGGTGGAGCTAGGCTGGACTCTCAGCTGCCTCCGCCGGCCAGGCCTTCACAGTCGAGTAACGCGGGAGAGACATTCTAAGCCCAGGAGCCCAGCAGAGGTCCTGGAAGTAGGGACCTGCCCTTTCTCCAGGTGCCCATCACTTGGCCTGAGTCTCAGCACAGAGTTCTTCCTGGGAGCTGGGGGAAGAGTCAGGACCCCATTAACAAATGACCTGAGGGTGGGGACAGAGGTAAGGGTCAAGCACCAGTGGCCTGGCGGGAGCTGTCCTAAAAGTGCGAAGCAGGTTTCACAGATCATGGCTCATCCCGGCCAGGCCAGGACCAGCGGAGTCCCGCGTCCTCACTCACGGAGTCCTGGGGAGGTCTTTCCCAGCCTTGGGCAGCGTCCCACCCCCTTCCTCTCTGCCAGCCCCGTGTCTTTTGAGAAGGGTGACAAACACCGGTCTGCAGACTGGCTGGATGCCTGGATCCAGATCCTGACCTCAGAGTGCTTCGTTTAGAAAACAGAAATAATCATATCACCCACCGTGGAGGGTTGCTAAGAGAGTAAAGGAAATACCCGTTTAAAGCTGCTGGGCACAATGCCAAGCGCAGAATCTCCGCACCAATCAAGGACCGCGCTCGTACTGATTCTGGCCGTCGGGACTGAGGCGTGTGCTGCACAGTCTCCTTTATTCTCAGCAGTTGGGAAGGTGGGTGTCTGCCCTGCGGGCCGGAAGGGGCTGTGGGGAGCCGCCTCCCTCCTCCCGGACAAGGGGCAGGCTCAGAGGTGAGCGGTCTAGCAGCAGCTTTGCCTTCAGTCATCCACCTGGATCTCCTCGTCTGACAGGTGGGGCCTCGAATCAGAAACAGCAGAGCAGGGCCGGGGGCCGGGGCCGGGGCCCGGGCCGGGGTCGGAACCCGGATCGCCATCGGGCAGTGCTAGGCGGCACAGGACTCCCGGCGACAGTGCGCGCAGCGAGGCCACGTCAGCACGCAGCTCCTCCACGTCGCGCTTGAGCTTGGCGCGCCTGTTCTGGAACCAAGTGACGACCTGCGCGTTGGCCAGGCCGAGCCGCGCCGCCAGCCCCTCGCGCTCCGACGGCGCCAAGTACTTCTGGAAGACGAAGCGCCGCTCCAGCTCCAGCACCTGCTGCGCCGTGAAAGCCGTCCGGGACTTGCGACGTCTGCGGCCGGCGGGGCCGGAGCCCAGCGCATCCGGAGCAGCGCGGCCTGCGGGGACGAGGCTGGGAGTCAGTCTCCAGCCTGCGGGAATGGAGCCCGGACACCCCGGGACACTGTGGCCTAGAAAGAAACTCTGGGAATGGCAGGGCAGGTAGGGGACAGGAGGGCGGAGCAGAACCCGAAGACCACGGTCCTTTCTGGAAGTGCGCCGGGGTCAGGCCGAGGCGGGGGAAGGGCTTGCCACTGGAGTAGGAGCTGCTGGCTCAGGGCGTGTCGCAGGGGCAGGAGAGTGGCAGAAAGACGGAACAGGCCAGAGCAGGGTCAGGAGGGCCGGCTTGGGGTCTTGGATAGCATCAGGGGCGAGTTAGAGTAGGGGCAACCGAGCCCGTCTGGGGGGAGTTACGGAATCCGGACTGTGCCCTTCCCGAGACTCGTGGGTCGCGCAGCGCTGGGCTTGCACTCCCTGAGTGACACAGGGTCCTCGAGCTCAGAAGGGGGGCGCGGGGTACCCGGAGCGGAGAGAGGCGAGGTGCGGAGTCCGGCGCCCCGGGCCACGCCCAGGACCTTCAGCTCCTGGCGCCCGCTGGAGAGCAGGGAGGTTTGGAGCGGAGTTGGGCGCAGTAAAGACCGCGGCTCTCCCCAGCGCTTTCTGCACCGCGGGGGCCGGCCTCGCTAGTTTACCGCCTGCGGCTCCAGCCTTTTGTCTCCTTCCGGCCTTTCGCGGTCGTGATCGCCCCGCCTGCAGCGAATGCACCGACCGTCGCTCAGGCGGGAGGTGAGGCTGGAGGTGCGAGTCCTGGCACGTGGGCTGAGGGCAGAGGACGGGGTAGGGTGGCCGGGCCGCGGGTGGGGTGGGGTGGGGTCGGGTCGAAGGTTTGAGACCGGAAAGCAGGAGAGAGACAGGGAAAAGGCCAAGTCGGAGTTCGCGCCCTTGCCCGCTGTACCTTGCGAGGGCTGCGGAGCGCGCCCGTCGGGTCCGCGGAAAGTGTTACTGGTCAGCTCCTCCAGCGCGCACAGCGGCGACTTGGGGCTCGCGCCCGACCCTGCAAGCTGCGGTGCAAAGGGCGCTCGGGGGACCGTACGTGGGCCGAGGATGTCTGCGATGCGGAAGGGTGTCCGGGGTGCCCCGGGCTCGCGTCCTGGGTTCATGTCCCCCCCCCTAGGCGGTGGCGGTCCAGCAGCGACTGAGCTAGGCTCTGCAACCGCCTGGGCCCTAGCGCGCGGCTCCTGATCGGCACCCCCTGGCTCGGACCGCCCCGGCGCTGGGCCCAAGCCCATGGTGCCCCTCCTCCTGCACCTCCACCTCCCCACGGGGGCGGGGGCGAGGTGGGTCTGGAGCCCGTGGATGTACCCTCAGCCATATTAAGACAGGGTCGGGAGGCATGGAGAGGAGACTTACTCAGCAGACCCCAGGGGCGAGGCCTGGCACACACAGGCCGGGCCCACTTCCCCAGACTCTATGCTGGCGTCCCTCCGCCTAGCCGCGCTCCGGCTCGTAAACTCGCGGGTGATAAATTGCTTTCCCTGGCCCCAATTACCTGGAACTTGCAAAGTTCGAAGGAGGCAGATCACTGCTCTCTGCTAGGATCTCTGTCTCCTTACCTAGCTCCTGGGTCCCCTCCTACCCTGCAGAAACCTCTTTTGTTTTGTTTTAGTAGTTTGATAATTTCTTTTTTTTTTTTTTAAAGAATTATCTTATTTATCATTATCACTTTTTGGGCAGAGAGAGAAAGGGAACGTGAGAAAGCAAGCCACCAGGCCCAGTACTTCAACCGTGGTCAGCCATGGGGGAGTCCAGCACTTCAACCACCATGCCACCTGCCAGCTGTACCCTGCAAAAAGCTCTTTAGAAAGAGGCCATGGCTGGAAGCGATTAGAACGTTGCAGGTGTCCATAGTCCTAGTTGGGGAGAGTCTTGGGGGGATGCTGCAGGCGTCCAGGATGCCACCAAAAAAAAAAAAAAAAATGGAGCACAGGTCAGAGGACCTGAGGCTGCCCCACTAGGTGTAGAGGCTCTGGCAAAGTTAAAACGTGAGGCTCCCGGAGATGCCAGGAGAGAGGGCACCAAGAACCTGGAGCTGGCTGGCAGCAACAACACAGGGAGGTCCTGGGACTGCCACTGAGTCCCCCTGAGTGACCACTGGCCTCCACTGAGGCTCCCCTGCTCCCTCTATGGCTCTACTGATTAATTTGTCTTTGACTTTTCCTTTTTAGAGAGAGATTTTTGCTATCCAGCACGTGTGCTTGCCAGAGAGACAGACAGGAAGCAAGAAATCACCTCCCTGGAGAGATGGCCACCCTGCAACCCCTTTTCCTCTGTTCTCCTCTGGGGATTTCGGGCATGCATGCACATGCACCTGGCATGAGTTTTAAGCTGCCAGGTCCAGGACTTGAACCGTGGTCAATTATGTGGGAGTCCAACAACAGAACTGTTCCACCATCTGCTGCTCCCTCTTTGCCTTTTTCTTAAGCTCCTCTAATTCAGATATAGATTTCCTTGCCAGCAGAAGTTCAGAAATAGCGGAGGAGAGCCAGGGACCTGACCAAGTAGGATCACACCCCACAGAAGAGTGACTTACAGAGCAGGACTTAACAGACCTAACTGGATCATGGGACAGACCGTCTACCCGGGCACCGACTCCGGCCTGGCGTATCACTAACATGTCACCTGTGTCCTGTCTTCTCTCTCATGGCTCTTCTGGTGCTGAGCATGTCCCTGGGGAAGTACTCGCAGCCTTCTGTGAAGGAAGAAGGCAGCTCCAGGACGGCATGGCTCCGGGAGCGGAGGCCCAGGAAAACCTGGGCTTTCTTCCTCCATCTGACCTCAGATAGTTGGAGAGTCAGGTCCCAGAGGCAGAGAAGTCCTGGGCAGGTGGGAACGGAGGGCTTCCAGTTTTCGGATCCCTCCTGGACTGTCCCTTATGTCGCTTTCCGTCAGCCTCTGCGCAGTGGTCCTCTGTACCCACCTGTTTATATCTAGCGCCAGGGGAGCCTGAACTTGGGGCTCCCCAAACAGTGCTTGGGAGAGCCAAGATGCGTGGGTCTTTTGCCAAGGATGGGAAGGTACTTTGATAGGTCTTCTTGGGGGGGCTCCTCCAACGCCCCCTACCAGCACCACACTCCAGACATCCAGACATCCACAGTGTCCTCACAGTGGCCTGAGGGCCTGAGCTACACGCTGCAAGCCTGACGGCCGCTGCCAGGTCAGAGAGCCAATTCCTGCCTCAGGACCTCGGAACTGGTTATTAAAGGGGGGGGGGGGGCCTGGCCTCAGCCCTCAGAGTCACCCTTGTGGTGTCACTTCATCACAATTAAAGGGCTCCAGGAGGCGGTCAGAACTGCCCCCCAAGTCCCAGGCATGTCACCAGGCAGACACTGGGAATGCACTGGGTACGCTGGCACTGGCTCCGCTGGCTGTCCATCCGCACCTCGGCTCAGTCTGCAGCACCCCTGAAAAGTGCGGGCCTCCTCTGAAGGGCCTTTGCCTTCTCCCCTCTCCATCCTCCCTGCCTGCCGCCTCTGCAGCTGGGCCCAGGTAACGGACTGGATGATCCCAGACAGGAGTTGGGGGAGGAAGGGGAAGCAGAGACCATTAGGGAGGAGGCCCTGGACGGCAGAGGCCCCACTAAGGCTGTCTCAGCCGCAACAACTAGTCCAGACTATGCTGGGGCCACAGAAGGGGGCTTTTCCCAGTGAAGCCTCTGGAACAAGAGCTGGGGCGAAACCGGATCCTCAGAGCGGGGAGAAGGAGGGTGAGTGATTAATGAGGGAGATTAACAGATTAAACCTGGGTTCTGGGCTGCGGTAGGGGGGTAGGGGGGCGCTCGGCTGTCTCCTAGGTTTCCCCCACCCCAGTTTGGGAGTGGGAGGAAGCTCCCAGGCACTCAGTTGGGGCTGACCTCTGGCTCTCAGAGGGACCCCTCCCTGCTGGGAGCCCTCCCCCCACAACTATTCCTGAGTCAGTTTAGACACTGAAATTGGGCCATCCCTGTTGTTCTCAGGCAGTCTCTAAAGTCTCCAACCTCCTTAGATCCCCCGATTGTCCCTTCCGGCATCTCTGGGGCCAGCGCTCCTGGTGGAGAGTCTCCCAATTTCACATTCGTTCCCAATTCAGGGTGCCTTGTCAGGCCTCCCATCATCATTCCCGTTGGAGCCACGTTCTCATCCCAAGCCCTACACCCACGTTATCCCTCATTCCAGACGCCACCTCTCACCCAGCAGGTTCACTCACCCCGGGCTACCCCCCCAGGACCCCACCCCACCCCCTTGGGCACCGAGGTCTGCTCAGTTTAGTCTCAATTCCCCTCCCCACGCTCCATCTGAACCCTGTGAGTACACCCTGGCCATCCGAGGACGCAGGCCCCCTGGGGCAGTGGGTGAGGGCATCTCAGAGACCGGCTGCCCCTTTCCTTCCACTCTCGAGAAAATCCAGGAACCACAGGAGAAAGGAGTGGGGGTGGGGGCCAGGGGGAGAACGCAGGTGGAGGAGAGGGGGGCAGGGATTGGTCCGTCTGAACACTTCTTAGATTGTTTCCATTTCCAGAAACTGTAACTGTGAGGGAATCCATTTGGACACTGAAATTCCAGTTCGTTACATTCGGCGCTACATTCTGCTGCTCTCCCCTGGTTCCAAGCTCTGGGGGCCGTCGCCATCCAGAGGGTGTGGGGTACAGGGAGCGGGGGACCCAGACACACTGCCTCCCAACACTACTTTAGGGGAGTAATTTCCTCCCACTCCTCCCCCCACGTCCCATCCCAGCCAGGGAGACCCCAGGCTGAGGGAGGGATGGCAAAGGCGGAACAGTCTGGGCGCCCTGGGAAGCGGCAGGCGTGAGAAAGGCAGACCAGGGCGAGGCAGGTTCGACCCTGCAGGCAGGACTGACGCCTCCCGCCCAGCTCAGCGTGGCGATGGCGGCACCCCTTGGAGCGAGGGCTGTTCCCGGAGGGGTGTGTGGACGCCTCTCCTGACCCCTGAGCTCAGCGCCCCATGCGCGCCATTCTGGGCCGCAGCCCAAGAAAACCGGGCGCAATTCCCTTGCCCCGGCACAAATGCTCCGGGGTTAGGGTGGAGGGAGCGGCGCGGAGCCCGCAGCTGGCTGGCCCCAGCCACCGTGGGAGACACACCGCAGCTGCCACAGCACTTCCGCTCACAGAGAAAGGACAGGCCGAGGCGGGGCAGCGCGCCCCCCAGAGCCAGGCCTGCCTTCCATGGCCCTGGGCCCCAGGCGTGTGTCAAGGCCTCATCCTGAAGCCTGGTCCTCGGGGCAGCGGCCTCGGGCTCCCAGAAGTTCACTCCCTGCCTTTTCTACCCAGCAGGGCTGCCTCCACCCGGGGCTTCCAGGGGAGACCCAGACTGCTCCCCGGCTGGCAGCTGCTCGCTCTGAAGCGTCCCCAGGAGCGACCCTATCCTCCTCCCCCAGTCCCCAGCGCTTGCGCGGACACTCACAGATTCGCAGGAAATGCCCTTCGCTGTTTGGAGCACAGACTCCCTGATTGCAGCTTTGTGTTTGAATGCAAACGAAAGGGAGTGGGGCGTCCCGGGGGTCAGAATCAACCCCAGCCTCCAGACCTGAGCTCAGAGAGGCTCAGAGGCAGGCAGGATCCCTGATCCTGCCGTGGGGAGGGTATTCCTGCAGTAGGTGGTCAGGCAGAGGTATTTCAGGCTGGAGGCCTGCAAACGAGGAAAGCTTTGGGAATTTTGGACACTGGGTCGGGAAGGAATCATACTTAGCTGGGGTCTCCGCTGCTGACCCGGGTCCGGATCCGTCGCCCGCCCCACGCACTCAGTCCGCAGATCACACTGCACCTGCCTCGGGGCCTGCACTCCGGGCAGCCATACTGAGAAGCGGGTTTGTCAAAGCCCAGGCAGGCCTGGGGCCAAAAGAGGCCCAACTCAAGCTCAGCTTTTGCTGTGAGTCTCCTGCTTTCTTTTCTCTTTTCTTTCTTTCCTTTTCCTTTTTCTTTTTATCCTCCTTCCCTCCTTCCTCTCTTTTTTTTTTGTGCTAGAGGACCCTTGAGCAAACCAGACACAGAGAGGAGAAAGTTCCCCCCACAGGGCGCAGTCACACCGAAATCTCTTCACCATTTCTTCTTCATTTCAGGATTGTGGGCATGAATGCTTAGCATGTTTCTGAAGTCACAGGGTCGGTCCCCACGTGGGATCTGTCCACTTTAATCATCCAGCAGCGCTGTCTGGCTTTTTCTTTTTTTTAAGATTTTATTTTATTATTATTATTATTGGAGAGGTTTTTGCTATAGGGCACGTGCGCTCGCCAGACAGAGAGACAGACACAGAGAAAGCGAGAAATCACCCCCCCCCCAGCGGGGATGGTCACGCAGCAATCCCTTCTCCTCCATTCTCCTCTCGGGATCTTGGGCACGCACGCACGCATGCACGCGCACGCGCCCAGGGTGAATTTAAGCCACTGGGTCCTGGACTAGAACTGCGGTTGACTACATGGGAGTCCAGCAACACAGCCATTACGTCAACTGCTGGTCCCATTATATTTTAATTTGCTATAGGCCTAGTGAGCTCAGAGAGAGGGAGAGAGGGAAAGTGAGAAAGCCTTTCATTGTCGCCACTTCCTTGCTCCCATGCCCTAGCCTCTGTCCATGGAAGCTCAGGCTGTCTGCTCTCACCAGCTACCCATGAAGACGCCCTGGAGTCAGACTTCTGTCAGTGTGGGGTTCTGGTGACATCTACACTGCGTGCTCTGTCATGGCTGTGCTAAATTCCACGGTGGACTTCTCAGCTTCCTCTAGAACTCCTTCCTTTGGCTTCAGTGTTCTCATCCCAGCCGGGCAAGTTTCTAGCTACCCCACCACTGCCTGGACCTTGGGCCAGGGACACTGGCTGTGACTATTTCCTGACCCAGTGTGCATGGCGGGACACATGCAGATAAGGAACACTTGTTGAATTAATCAGCACTGCGCAGGCCTTGAGACTTCCTCTGGACTCTTTTTTTTTTTTTTTTTTTTAAGAGAGATTTTTTGCTGTAGGGTGCATGTGTTCACCTGAGAGACAGAGAGAGACAGACAGAAAGTGAGAAATTACCTTGAGGGGGGAGGGGGGTGGCCATGCCACAATTCTTTCTCCTCCATTCACCTCTGGATTTTGGGCACACATGCAATATGCGTGTCTGACATGAGTTTTAAGTCAAAGGGCCTGGGACTTGAACCGCAGCTGACTGCGTGGGAGTCCAGTGACGTGACCATTACGCCAGCTGCTGGTTCCCCTCTTGTTTCTTGAGGCTCCCCCTTGTTCTCCAGATCAGCTCTTCTCCTCAACTCCCCATGCTCTCCCACCCTGGCTTCACCTAGTGCCAGCCTGAGGCCTGCTGAATCCTAGATAGATAGGCAGGCCCCCAGTTTTAGTTTTGTTTTAGCCTCCTCCTTCCTCTCTGTTCCCAGTCTCCAAATTATACACCCATAGTGCAATTCTTAGGATTTTTTTTTAAAATATCATTTGTCGTCAGTCCTACAGTGGCCACTGTGCAACCCTAGCCTTCCTCTTGCCACTGAATGAGGGCGCCAGCACTCGGCCTGCACCATAGGCTACAGCAGACAAGCAAACAGGACGCCGGGAGCGTCCTCCAGAAAGCCTCTGTTCACCAAAAGGAGCTGTGGGGCCTGTTCTCACTGAGCTCTCCTTTTGGGTTTCAAAGCACAGGGTCCTCTACTCCTCTCTTGGCAATACACTGAGGGCCCATGGCCGCAGAGAAGCCCTTTTTCAAAATGAGGACAGCAGGACATGAAGGTAGGAAGAACAAGGAAGAAGAGAGGTGCTTTTTAAAAGTTTTTATTTTAAAAAATAAAGCCACAGTTCATTTCACATAAATATCTGGGGAGGGATAGGGAGAGGGGTGGGGTGGGGGCTTGGCCCCTACCTCCTCTTCTCTTTCACACTGTACTGTAAAAGCAAAGGGGATGGCTGAGGAGAGAACGGGGGAAGAGCCAGTCAGCGATGAGGTCCTGCCCCAGGGCCCCTCAGCCCACCCTCACCCTTGCGCCACTTCCTTGACCCTAGCTTACCTTGCCGAACCAGCGGGACAGCCATATCTGCTTCATTGTCATGTGATCAGGGAGAACTTCATTTTCAAAAAGGAGCTGCACCTAGGGTAGAGATGGGTACAGTTTTAGGACTCCTCCTGGGCAAGTTAAGAACTACCCCAGTTGGGGCTAGCAGGTGGCATGGTGGTAGAGACACTGGACGCCCACATGGTTGACTGCTGTTCGAGTCCTGGACCTGGTGGCTTGAAAACCACACTGGGTACATGTGTGTGGAAGCATGCTCAAAATCCCAAGAGAACTAGTGATGTACAGTAACTGAATGTATAAAATTGATACATTTAAAAAATGATAGACTTAACAATGGATCAATGTTAAAAAAAAATCCCAAGAGGAGTGTGGAGAAGGGACTGCGGCAATGGTCACCCCCCTTGGGAGGGGTGATTTCTTTCTTACTTTCTCTCTCTCTCTCCACCAAGTGCACACACCCTATAGCAAAACCTAAAGTAAGCGCCAGCAAGTGGTATAGAGGTTGAGGTGCTGGACTCCCACATAGTTGTTTGGAGTTTGAGTCCCAGACCTGGCAGCATAAACTCATGCCAGGCGTGTGTGTGTGCAAGCCCTAAATCCTGAAAGGACAATGGAGAAGCGATCCATGGCCATCTCCCAGGGGAGTGACTTCCTGCTTTCTGTCTCTGGCTAGTGGACGTGCCCTATAGCAACAATCTCTCAAAAACAAAACATAAAACTAAAAAACAAAAACAAACAAGCAAACTACCCCAGTCTATCCAAGACTCGGTTCCTTTATTCTTATACCCTTCCCCCTCAAAAAACCTACCATGAAATTACTCACATGTTGGGGATTTAGCATCAAGCGGTGACAAAGGACCCTCCGGAGATGGCGTACCTCAGCTCTAACGGAACATCGGACATACTTGTTCTGGGGACGTGAAAGGAGAGAAGAGGCCCAGGCACATGAGGAACAGGCCACAGGGAAGTGAACCTCGTTAGACAGGCCCTCCCCTGAGTCCCTCTCACCTGCAGGACACTTTTATTCTTATCTTTGCCAGAACTGGAGAAGAAAGAAACAGACATAGGTTAGGAAGTCCCATCTCAAATAAATAACTAAATAAATAAAACAAAAAACAAACAAACAAAAAACTTAAAAAAATCCTTTCCCCTTTCCTTTCTCCCACCCAGAGCCAGGACATACTCTGCAAGGGAACAGCCATGTCTCCCCGCCCCCTGACCTCTCCCTAACCCCTCCCTGGCTCTGGGTCATCGCACTGTCCCTGCGCACAACCCGACCTGCCTCACCTCAGCCGCTCCAAGCACAGGCTCAGCTGCTCATCATAGCGGTAGTAGTGGGCTTTGGAATGGTCGAAGCTACTGAAGGGGAGGCCAAGGTTACTTAGGGCTGGCTCTGAAAAAGAGTGGTGTGGAGGGTGGTAAAAGTTCCATACTCTTTTCCTAGGAAACAAAACTGGGCAAGAGGAATGCTCTGGGGGCTGTACTTTACCCTCCTGCTACCAGGGACATACCTTCTCCGCTGGGCTGGGTCACCCGGTCCAAGCCTCGAGACTGGTAGAATTCTCTAATTCGTTTCTCTTCACCTAGAAGGGGGGAAAGAATGGCAATAAAGTGTTGGCCTCCCCGACTCTTTGTCCCTCTGACTGCTGGCCTCATTACCTAAATGATTCTCACCCAAACCTGTCACCTTAGGCTGCCACCCAGCATGAGTCCTCACGTGTTCCCTCAAAGTCAGGTTGGTCACTCACTGTCTTGCAAGCCAGGCACTAGCTTGTACACGATGTCCTGCATGACCCGGTCCAGTTTGAGGTTGAGCAGTGGCTGCGTTTCGTGGATCTTGATGTTGCACATGGGGCAGTACTTGCTGGTTTGGAGGTATTTCACAATACAACTCTTGCAGACTGCATGAACAGAAAAGCAGACTCTCAGGTCTTCCGGGAAGCGGACTCATGGGCGGGGTAGGGCAGGCAGCAGAGGCTGGCAGCCAGCTTGGTGAGAACCGGGGCCTGGAAGAAGCAGGCAGGATCCAGGGCACTCACAAGTATGAAGACACTCTGTGATGGTGGTGGCATCTACAAAGTAGCCGGCGCACAAACAGCAAACGATGTGCTCATTCAGGTCTTTGATCTTCACTCGGACCTCCTCCTACGGACACACCCTCCGTCACCGATTACCCACCCCACCCCCACTTCATCCCAACCCGTGCGCCTTCCCAGCTTGATCAGACTCCCGGGCCCAAGCCCCACACCCTGAGCGGTCAGATTAGCTCCCCGAGGCTGGCACTCCCCCTCCGCCCAGCAGAGGGCTCCGCGCACAGCGGGGGCTCCCTTCACAAGGACTCGCCTGACCCTCCTTTCCCAGGGGAGACTACACGCCG